TGTTTGGCAACATTACATTTATGTATTGGCAAACAACAGACCAATGCATATTATTATTTACATTGATAATAAGATATAAAAGTACATCAATAAAAAAAGTAAATTTGCATTTAAGTGGGCTTTTGATAAAAAAAAAAGCATAGGCTTTATTGAAATTCATGTTTGCATTCATTACAGTTAAAAGTCTGTTTGGTAAGAAGTCAAATTTGCCAGTGCAAAACGAACGCAGTTTTATAATTTATATGAACCATTTTACACTCTGCATATTTGCACTCACACTTATTTGTATTGTTTCCAAACGCAACTTTAATATATCCATGTTGGTTTGATTTTTTTCACCATATATAAAATATATCTTAATATGTTTCTTAAAATTGACTTTTGGATACTCTTTATATTTCTAATAGTTTGAATCTTTAAGGACGTAGAACTGATACAAATTTGAGGATTAAAACATGTGAACAATCTAATGGTTTTTCCTACATGGCTTAAGGGTTGTATTGGCCAAATGATCGATCCATGTTGCGACTTGCAACCAAATGGGTGGTGGGATTTCTGCTGTTATGCAGCGGAGACCCAGGATCAAGTCCCATTACACCAGGGCTGGGGGTAAAGGGAATGAGGGATGGACTACCCTCATTGCGTAGCCTGTCAGAAAAACCTAGCATACCTCTTTAAAAAAAATTCATGTAGCATGGGTTCAGAACATAATACCAAGGTAAAAACCTTTTCAGAGACCTCACCTAACTACTTAAACTTTTATTTGATTAAATGATCTAATATTTATGGATGGTCCTGTACTTATCTACGCTTCAGTCCAATGGGCTTTCACGGGCTTGTTCAACTAGGTGGACCCTTCATCAGACGGCACAATTCCTTGATATAAAACTCATGTTTAAGGTATGTTCTGTCAATTGCATATATTTGTCCAGTGGAGAAAATGTTGGTTAGAAATTAGAATTACTAGTAGCTATGAAGTTAAGGCCCAGAAGTCAAATGATCATGCTGGTTTCTGGTTTTTGGTGCACTCACCATCTGAAGTGGGACCCATGTGTCATTCTTCTTCCATGGCACGTGACAAGTACAGGCTTTGTAGACAGTCCAATCAAGATAGCTCTTTCATTTGGATTTTGGAAATCGGCTTTGGTTACCGGTTTTCCAAAATTAAGCCCACAATGCACCCTTAGTCGTGGCAACTAGGAATGGGTATTATCAGAATTCGATCAAAACCGGTAACCCTGATTCTGCACCCCTAGTTGTGGCAAATAGGAATGGGTATATCAGAATTTGATCCATTAACTAAACAGATGGATGTTTTCAGTCCAATTCGATTTGTTAGGATCAAGGGAGGTATTTGAATCCGACTCTTATCGGATTCGAATTCAAGTCGAATCTGATCTAACTTATTTGTAGCCCTAACCTAATATTCCCGATTAATAATTGGTTTGCTTCTGGATTTAATTTATTTAACCGATTAATACCTGATTCAGTAAAAAAAAAATAAAATAATAACTGATTCAAGACTGGTTCACCCTGTTTCGACCCAGACCCAATCCATCGACATGCTTTACTGCCGGCAGGCTGGCACCAATGGGTTCCAAGTAGAAGTAGGGTGTTCTATTATCTCCTTTAAGTAATGAATCATGAGGGGGCGCAACTATCAGCTCTTTCTTCTTCTCTTTTTTCGCTTTTTCTGGTAAGGTGGAACTTTTGATTCCACCAATCACCATTAACTGCAGCTCAATATCAAACTTCAATCCTGAATTCTCCAATTGAATCATGGTCAGAATTTCCTTTGAATTAAAAAACAAAAAAAAAATTCTTTGGGCTCAGTTTGGAAGGAGTACAAATGCAAATATGTATAATGTAAATACATACAAAATAATACAAAATATAAGGTTTTGCACTCTACATATTTGTATTTATACTCCTTCCAAACTCAACCTTAGTGATTCTCATGAACAGAAAGAGAGAGGAGAGATTTTTAGCAAAGCAAGAGCATTTGTGGTATTGTGGATGTGAGTTGGGAATATGATGCAAGTGTTTGGTATCCAAAAGATAGTTTAGGATTATTTATTTATTATTATTATTATTATTGCTATTGTTGTTGTTGTTATTGTTATTATTATCTTGAAAGCATCATTAGAATCTTATCCATATAGAACAACTTTGACAAAAAGAAAAACTAATAATTTCGATCCAAATGACAGCCTTGGCCTTTGCTAGACGTGAATGCAAATTGTTTAAATAAAGGATGCAAATTTGGTTCAGTTTTGCACTCAGAAATTTACAATGTATTGTTTTGGTTGAATGAGTGCAAACACAAATCAATTAAGGCTGAAATCAATCCGCTTTGTATTCACCAACCTTGAATGCAAAGTTTGAAAACAAATTTTGCTTTCATTTGGAGTAGGCTAAAAATAGAGTAATACATTTTTGCATTCACCAAACAAATTAACTGGTTGACCAGTTCGGTTCATCAGTTTGTTAGTTTTTTATTATTTACAATATATTATAAAAAATACATATATAAATATATAATAAAACACTAGAAATATATATAAAATATTATATTTTAAATAATAAATTATATAGTATATATTATAAACATATATATATTTTTATATATAATGCATATTTATTAATTTATAAACCGTCGGTTTTCTATTTTGGTTAATTGAAACTAAATCGATACCTTCGATTTTTTTAAATACCAAATCAATTGGTTTGGTTAATCGAATTTTTGGTTCGGTTTCGATCGGTTTAGTTTTTTGGTTTTTCTTGCTCACCCCTAGCCATGACCTGATATGATATGTCAGTTATGCAATATTATATATTATATACATATATTCTATATATTATTTATTATAATATGTTATTTATATTATATCATAATTTTTTATTACAATTCAACTTGAATTGGATATTCAATAAGATATTCAAATTTATACTTGAAATCTATATAATTATTTATAGGAAAAATCTATGATGCGAAAAATACATGTATAGAAAGAGTTTTGATCAACCAAAACCCATCCATGAATTTTTATAAAAAATACTTTATTCGCCACCATGTTTTAGATTCCAATTTATCAGTCAGTTATTTTTTGGATATTATATCTTTTCTATAACATAGTTGAACCCTTATATGAAAATAATACAATTCAAAAAGAATGAGATTTTTATATATTATTAATTACATGAAAAAATCTATGATGCAGAAAAAATATGGTATGGGAAGAGTTTCGACCAATCAAAACCCACTCATGAATTTTGATAAATAACACCCGATTGGCTACTACATTTATGATTCCAATTAACTGGTCAGAAGTTTTTCATATATCATATCTTTTCCATATCATAATCGAACCCTAATTATATAATTGGTTCAGATCTTAATAATAACAAAAACTTCACCTTAACCCTGACCCAATTATTAACCACAAAATCAAAACCGCCGGTTTGATTTATCGGGTGGGCCCAACCCATTGACAACTCTCGCGCGTCAACTGCTTTGGGCCCAGTGGACTGACTTGACTATCCACCCACTTCCATAACTCAAAAATTTAATAAAATAACCAAAATTCTCATTTTTTTCCTAAAATGACCTATATATCCCTTGAGGCATAGAGAGGATAGTAGGTAGTTAGGTACTCGTAGTCATACACCGACAGCGCAATATGGGCCTCGACTCGGCCCATGTGACTGTGAATTTGCGACCGTCTCTTGCACATCACCAACCGGTGACCGCTTGAGCCAAGCCCTTGAAGCGTTGACCTTATCAAACGATATAAATAAGGAAAACTTCCACTTTAATATCCTGAACTTAAGGGTATTGTCAAGTTAATACCCGAATTTTTAAAAAATGTCAAATTGGTCCAGAATTATTAACCAACGTTAAATATCATATAAAAAGACAAAAATATCCTTCACCTATCATCAAATTTTCTTTTTATTTGTGTCAGATCTCTAACCACCCCTTCCATTTCAGTAACAGGGAGGTTTTGTAATGGAAAGCTGGCTACCGACTTCGCTGGTAAAAAAACTCAAGAACCATTAATTGTTTTCTTCTTTCTGGTAAAACTTCATTTTCTTCTCTTAATTCCTAAAACGAGGTAATGGGTTTGGTTGCTTTTAATGCCTCTGAGTTCAGCTGAGATCCTTGGCTTCACTTAATACCAACCTGCTTACCTTAGCCAGGAGGCCATAGGAAGTAATCTCTTAATAGGAGCCAACTTTGCTTCAACTGCTTAGATGAGTTTGCTGGTAATCGATTAGAGATCCCATACTGAACTTCCAAGAAGAGAGAAAAAACAATCAATTAAACCGGACTTAGATTCGAAGTGAAGGACAAGAAAACAGATCTATCTTGGGATCCAACTGAAACGCTCATGGAGACTCTAGATTTGTCCAAATTTTTAGAGTAAAAGCTTTGTAGGGAAACCGATGGAAGAACAACCGAAGACATCGTTGTCAAAGAAGGCGAGAGGCCACATATGCAACTGTGGTGAACTACGCAGGTTAAGTGATTGGCGCCTGGCGGAAAGAGAAAGCATGCATTTTAAGCTTTCATTCTTGGGCTCGTACAGCTTCAGTTGGCGGAGGTGCCACCGCTTACCAGCAAATTCATTAATCACTCCGCATAGTCGGCTGCGGCTGCTCGTACAGCTTCAGAGGCGGTGGCGCCTCCCCATTGTTGGCTGCCCTCCTGGTTTGCTTCAACAAAGACGTGTTCATGTGTTAAGTGTTGATGGGCCGACTGAACATGCACCGGTGTTTATGGGTTCGAGTTCATCAATTCACGTCTTCTGTTCTTTCATTAATTTTATCTAACTATAGTTCAGTATTATTATGGTTAAGTCTGGCGGACTGTTAACGGTAGGAATTAAATTGATATTTTTGAAAGTTTGAATATTTCATTGACATATTTAAAAGTTCGGGTACTAACTTCACATTATTCCAAATTCAAGGTACTAAAGTAGAATTTTCCCTATAAACAATCTCCCGACTTCATTTGCAATTTATAAATCTCATTTCACCCTTCTTACTCACTCTCCTCCGCTTCTCGCATCTCTGATACCTCTCGAGCTCGGATCCGACGAACTAGGTACGAAACCATAGATCTATGCTTTCATGGTTAGGTTTGTCTCTTGATTGCGTTTCTGATCTTGTTTTTGCTGTGAAATGAAATCTCAGTGACTGTCGTTTTTAGGGTTCTAATCATGTCGTTTTTTGTGCATTTCTTTTAGTGATATCTACTGTTTCTGATCCGATGTTTTCTTAGTGCATTTTGAGTAGATTTTTCCCTCTTTAAGGAGCATTTTATCCTTGTTTCTCCTCTCCTGAAGAAAATAACGATTTGACGCGTTTTACGTTTTTTTTTATGTTGAAAGTTTGATTTTTATTTTTATACTGTAACATGAAGATATCAGAGGGTATGATTTTTCTCAAGGGTTTTTTAATCTTTTGAATTTTATCTTGTTAACAATTTGATAATGACGGTTATCGGTTAGAGATTTGATAGCCGAGTTGGAGGTAAGATATAGTTATGCTTTGTGGGGCGAAGTAATCAGTGAATCTAATGGAGATAGAAACTGGACGTTGGGGGGGGGGGGTGGAGGACACTTTGACATCATGAGATAATGGGAAAAGGACAATTTCTGGAAACTATGGGTTCGTTAATCTCCTCGTTGATTATTGTTGCTGACATTGACAGTTGTCTCAATATTGTTGATTCTTTTCGTTAGCGTGACAATGACTTACAAATCAAGGCTAGAAGTTGTGATTGAATCCTACTGGCCAGTTAGATTCCGGATTCTGTGCATTGGGGGGAGGATGAGGGAAAGCGTTTAAGCGTTGCATACATCAGGATGTTCTGCCTGAGGGTCAAAAGTTAGTTTTGGGATAACCATATGGTAGAAGGCCATGCCTTGATTACCATTTTCAGAGTCTAAATTCAAATTATCCTGTTCATATTGTCTCTTTGTAGCTTTATTGTAGTATTAGGTCTTTCTTCAAGGTTAAACTTAATGTATTGGATATTTCTAGTGAGGCTTGCTCTTCTTGCTTCTGGTGCCGGGTCTTTACCTTTTCGTTGTAATGCTATATTGTGCAAAGGAGAAAATTACCATTGTGAACCACTGTGTTACAGTATATAAATATGTCTGTTTATAGCTTGATGAGTTTTCTATTATGGTACAACTCCTGTTTGGGGGTCTTGTGATGTTTGTACTCTTCTTACCAATTCAGTTTTCATTTCCCGCTGTTTCTGGTATATGTCATGAATGAAGTGGTTGCTAAACATGTGGTATAAGTAGGTAAAATTCGTTTGTGCATGTGGTTTCCATCCAGTTGACATCCAGTCTGGCCATATTTAGATTTTAGAAACCTAGATATGTTTAATGTTGACTCATAAAGAAATTTGGGCGCTGGTCAGTACTGCACTGGCTAATGGAAGTACTGCATCTACCTAGGCTTAGCAATTAAGATTACTTAAAACACGAAAAATGTCTATATTACAAAATGAAGTATTATCCGCAAAAAAGCCTTATACTTCAAAAATACTAAGTAGATCAGTCAAACTTTTATGATCAGGAAAAAGAACCAAAGTGAGAAGCCTAACGGCTTGACTGTCTGGGCCATATAGGTTGCTCAAAGATTCAATTTTTTCAGCTTCAAGATAAGGTTGGCGTGGCCCACCATAGGATGGGGTGATGGCTGGAATATGATATGGATTTTTAAAACATTCCCATGTGTGAGAAGTTGGCTTTGATAAGTGGTGCCTTGTTCAAGTTATTCCATTTATTTTGTGTGTTGATGCTTGTTCTGAATTGCTTAACCAGTACCTTCCAGTTATAGCTTTGGACTGTTATTTTTTCATTAAAGAATGTGCAATCATTTTCTTGACTGTACTTGCCTTGATATATTTCAATGTTATAGGTCTTAAATAGCCATCCGTAGAAACCTAGGAGTAGCAATAAGCAATAAAATGACAGAGAGTATATTCATCAAAAAATAAAATGACAGAGAGTATTTATGATGTCTTAAATTTGTTTGAGTTTTAAACAAATAGTTTGTTTACTTTTGCAGTATTTATAAGTAATCAAATTACCTTCAAGTTTATGATTGCTTCAGGGATTTCTCTATAGTTGCTTCCACAGGGAGGATTCAATTCCACATAATGGGATATTGTCATGAACTTTGCTTGAAGTTAAAATTTTACCTTTCTGAATAATGAACTATAACTGCTTTGTCTGCCACTGGGATTAGATGATGTTCTTCTGTGAATTAATTCTCCAAATAAGATCATTGCGCTTGATTTATTTACTAAATGCTTAGAGAAAAAATCATAGTAATCTTAAAGCACATTTATCCACTCCTGCTTGTTCATCCTATCTGCCACAAGTGCTTTTCTAGAATTTTGCCATGACATCCAACATAGTTTATCAACTTTCTGTTTACACTTATTTTATGCATGATGGATTCCAATCTTCTCTGTTTTACTCACTTAATCTATTGGGTATTCTTTACAGGGCCAAGACATTCTTATCTATAACAGGAAAAGAAAGGGGAACCAGAGAAAATGGGTCGTGGAGTGAGCAGTGGAGGAGGACAAAGTTCATTGGGCTACCTGTTTGGAGGTGGCGAGGCACCAAAGCCGGTCGCCAACCATTCCCAAGATGCTCAGAACCAGGGACATGGTGGAAACAATGGGCCACCACACAAGTCCGCTCCTGTACCAGTGGACAACAGTAAGCAGATTCCAGCTGGTATTCAGGGGAGCCAAGCAAACAATTACTTTCGTGCAGATGGTCAGAACAGTGGCAACTTCATCACGGTAAGATTGTAGTTGAGTATGTTTTCTGTTGCTTATCTTTTTCCTTTTTCTGTGTTGTTTGATGAATCTTATCCAAAATGAAGCCTTAATGCTGACACCTATTACTGAGAATGAAGTGAGAACTCAGAACTCATATTGCAAAGATGAACTAAACTGCCTTGAGGTACAGTATATAGCTCATCCATTGCAAAGATGTCTGAATTATCAGCAGAGGAAATTCTATGATACATATTGAATGCTTTCAATAACATTCAATTCCTTTTGGAATTGCGTGTTTTCTGGGATGGTTTTAAGGAATTTCCTCTGTAAGTTGGAAGTTTTAACCAGTGTTCCATTATAAGAACTTTGACAACTACATCATAGCAAATTCCAGTCTACAACATCTTCCTACCAAAACAAAGGCATCTCAACTCCTTATTTTGAATGGATAAAGCCTGGCATGAACCTGCACTGAACCGACCTAACCTGAACAACCCATTAATTTTTGTAGTAAGTTACATGTTTGGACCATGTTAGATTATAATTCTGTGGTCTCGAGGAAGAAAGGGGAAGTGTTGGGGGACCGAAAAAGAATAGAAAATTGCCACGAACCAATATATTTATTCTTGTTAAGTACTCGTTAATATTATGTGGTTCATGATAAAGTAAAATTTTGTACGAGGCGCATCATATATATTGTTTGAAGAATGGGCCATATCATTTTAGTCCCAAATCTAAATGGTTATCCGTTGGGTTGATAACCCCAAAACAACATGCATCTAGAAACATTTAACCGAACCCTTATATAAATGGGTTGGTTGAGCGGGTTGTGTTGAAAACACTTGACAACATGCATCTAGAAACACGTCACTACAGTAGCACATTGAGAACATCTCCCTTATTTGCATGCTACCATTCGTAGGGAGAGATGTTCCCAATGTACAGCTGTAGTTTCATGTGGGTAGTGGGTAGTAGGAGATCCAAATTGCATTTTAGGTCATTGAACATCTCCCTTATTAATATGCTTAATTATTGTTCACTTATTATCTCAGTTTCTTCTGTCTGTACATGAGCTAAAACATGTTATGCTAAAAAAAAAATCGTTGATCATCAATTTTCTCTGGGTACAGGATCGGCCTTCTACCAAGGTTCACTCTGCCCCTGGCGGTGGATCTTCCCTGGGTTACCTCTTCGGTGGCAATAACTAACTCCTTTGGCCTTTGAAGAGCATTATTGTTTACTGTTTGTCCAGAACCGGTACTAGTTTGGAAAAACAATATTTCAATCGTGTAGACATTGTCAACTGCTTGATATTGTGCTATATATAGTATATATAATCGTTACTTATTATAACTGTTGTGGCTGGATTTGCTCGAGTAAGAATGTTATTAGATGCAAAATCGTCGATTGCAAGCTCAATGGCAACTGATTAACGAGCTTCTGTTTTCTGATCGCTAATTCCATGTTCAGTTGGAAGTCTTCGCCAATGTGCGTGGTTCTGTCTTCTTTGGCAGCTGATTAATTTATCGCTGACCTCTCCAACGTCTTGTATATTTATTATTTATTTTTGGGTCGACTCCATAACCCTCCTGTACCATTCGCGTGTTTCACCTAAACTACCAAAGCTTCATTATCTGCCAGATTCCCCTTGAACTATCATAAACTATAAAATTATCTGAAAGGGTAATTTGAGCATTTAAAAATGTCACCACTATTTACTTGCACAGGGGTGCTTATTTGCTCAATTTCTGATTGTTAAGAGAGATTTTGACACAGGCAAAACCAATGTATTAAAAACCGACCCAGAACGGAACCAGAACTGCCACTGGTTTGACCGTCTTCGAACGGATGGTTTATTTTAATTTAAAATTAAAAAATTAAAAAATAATTAAAATAAAAAGGTCTAAGACCTATTGTCTCGGGTTGACAGTTTTGACTGCTCAAATTTCGCCAAGATATGAGTCAAGGGTAACTGTCCAGATGAACGATGGTTCGAAGACCATGAGAAAAACAATCCCATGGTACAGGGGAAGTGGGGATCTTCTTAAGAATGGATTCTACGTTCTATCATCATGAGATGCAGACACAGATCATGTTGGAACCGTATTGTGAACTTGTGATAGTTATTATGACTTTATGAGACGTTTTCTAATGCATTTTGAGTGACGATTTTGAAATGATTGTATTTTTCCTTCATGGGCTGGTTAATGAACATCGGTGCCAATGGCAATACACTGAAAAAGCAGGGTCTATTAAACACGGTGACCCTGTTTTTAGGGTGTAGGATTAGCGACTTCACAATGGTAGCACACTATTCTTATATTTCAGCAATCCTGAGATGCTTTAAATGCTTTAAAAAATGTATTAATGTATTAAAACATATCCCGTTACACCGACAACGATATGATATGCCCCATGTCGCCCAACATATTCACTAGGAATTTTAAGCCGCATATCCTTCATTCACCAACAAGTGAAACCTTGAAGACAATAGGTGACAAGGGTCAAGGAATTAAAACATATCTTAGTGACCAACTCATGATTTCACCAAATAGACGACACCCCTTGCCGCCAGCACCAGCGCTCTTCCAGTTCCGGGCAGGGGACCTCATTGCAATGATACATCATAATTTGGCACACAACGCAGACTTGCAAGAAGACATAGAGAGTATGGGTTTTCAAGGTTTGGTGCTGTGAACACATCTAATTATCTATTATCTATTGCTTAATAGTTAATACAACTATAGCAAAATTTCATAGTCTTGTCAGTATGATATCAGTATTTTGGGTGGATTGCAGCTGATATCAGTATTTTGAGGATGCTTCATTCTATGATCTGTAGTATCTGCCGCTGACGATGGGTCTATAAGCGGAACTGAACCCTTTGATCTTTAGAACCATGTATGGTAGATGACAATGGCTCGACTGTATGAGACAATCATGCTTGCTGTTAGGCATTCGCTGATCTTCGTAAGTTGTACTGAAGTCTGGAGATGTCATCACCCAGGAAATCATGCTTTATGACGCCTGGCACCCAGCCGTATGTTAGATCTAACCTGTTTAAAAGAGGGGTACTTATTTCTCATTCATGCATACATGAAAATTGCAGTACTTGCACATTCAAACGTGTATATGGAACTTTCAGTTCACAACCAGCAAACCTATTGGTCTTCTGTCTTTTTCTTTTCTTCTCCCGGGGGAAGGGGGGGTCTTGGATCAACTCTACATACCTAAGAATTGCATAGCGATTTCAGACTTCAGTCCCCTTCCTACAACCTAAGGACCGCATGTCAGATACAAGCTTCACACTATCTAGATGGGTACTATGATTCTATTATTAGTATTTGCCCATGTAATTGTGAAAGGGAGTGCATGGATGCATATAGATAAGTAACTTTCTGTTCATACTTAGTTTGGGGGCAAAGCATCCACGTTTTCAGCACTGGCAGAAAGATTTCCAGATGGAACTTCTAGCTCAGGATTCTGTTGATCGTTTGCACCATCATGATATGGAAGAGGTTCCACCGATGATCCCAAGTTATTACCAACCTGATGAAGAGCAAATATCATGTCAATATGGTGTCCTGGATTGATTGAGACTTCAAAAGCAAGGATCAGTGATTCCATCCATTTTAGGTCATCAACAAGATTTATTAGGGGATGGTTGAGCCATAGAGATCCCACAGTAAACACCAATGATGACCTGAAATGGACTTTGGATGTATGCATCAGTGCCAAATAACTTCAAATTTGTGCTATCATATGAGTGTAAAACTGATCTTCTCAAGCAGCATCTAAAGTAGGCTTTGCTTCAAGTAACAACATAAAATGACAGTTATTTTACTATAGCAGTTTGTGAGAAATCAATACCCAACAGCTGCAATTTTCAATTATAAGTATCCAAGGAAGCATATTATTAGCTCAGTATAGGACTGTAACCAGGTCATGTTTTGATTGAATCCAACCACATCCAAATCTATCGATTATTAGAAACTCAAATACGAATCCGATTAGGTATAGGGGTCTTGAATTGGATTCAAATCCAATTGGATTTGGATTTAAACTGAGTCCTAGATCCTATTGGAACTAGGGGTCTGTTGAATTGGGTTCCTATTATGGCAAGACTGCAAGCCACTGGATTGAAAATTAAAATTAACAGGACCATCGGTTATAGACTACGGGTCTTGAATTGGATTCAGATCTTATTCGATTTGGATTTAAATCAAGTCCATTGGATTTGGATTTGAGTCCTAGATCCAGGGTCTATTGAATAGGATTCAGAACTTACTATGGTAGACTGCAAACCATTGGATTGAAAATTGAAATTAGAAGGACCATTGGTTATAGAATTCTTTTTTGGACCAACCATTGGTTATAAACTTGTAGTGGATAGAAAGCTGTTAGGACATTATTAGATGGACCTATAGTATTAGGAATTGGGATTAGCAAGACCATTCATTATGTAGACCCCGGCCATTAATCAAGGCATCTTGGGTCAGAAGAAGTTGGCACTTCTTCACTGATGAGCTAGCAAAGCAAGGGGTGAATAGAGTTCATATTCAAGATAAGGAGGAGCAGAAGAAAGTTTACCCCTCTCTGCCTTGTATTTTATCATTTTTCTAATAAAGTTTACTTGTTATAAAAAAAAAAGGATATCCTAGGCATCTTGGGTCAGAAGAAGTTGGCACTTCTTCGCTAATGGGCTAGCAAAGCAAGGAGTGAATAGAGTTCATATTCAAGATAAGGAGGAGCAGAAGAAAGTTTACTCTGCCTTGTATTTTATCATTTTTCTAATAAAGTTTACTTGTTATTCAAAAGACCTCATATTCCTAGGCAATTGTACAGAATAACTGAACAAATCAACTCAAAAGACCTCATATTCAAGATAAGGAAGAGCAGAAGACTAACCACATGGGCATGAGAAACATCAACATGCATTGAATCGTTTTCCTTTGAGATACCAGTATTTTCCAATTGAGGTTTCTGTGATTTGGATTCTTTTCCATGAACATCATCTGTTTGTTGATGATCTATTATTACCTGTTCTTCTATAGACCTAGCCATTTTCAATCTGGGCTCATAACCATCATTCAACTTAATACCACCAACTTCAAAACCTGTTCTTTTCCTGACATGCAAATACATAGAAACCATTTTAAATGAATATGGTAGAAAATGACTAGCAACTGGAACTCTCACCTCTCAGAAGGAGCACATATGGAATAACCATATTCTTACCTGCTAAGGTAGTCATTAGCTGCATGGGAGAAAGTTGGTTTGAAGGAAAATATTATCCCTCGAAGAGTCTTTCCATCAATATTAGTTTCAATTGCGTAACCATAATGGTAAACTTTAGTAACCTTGGCTTCAAATAACTTTTCTTGAGAATGCCCAGATTCATTCAGTGGTAGTATCTGTTTTCCTGCACTCCAAAGCAAATCTTCATATACAAGGCTAATATTTCATTATGAATTTGAATATTGTGATAACAGATACTGCATCACGGTTTTCTATATGTTGCATTCTTTGCAGGTACTCATCAAGAAACTTCTGCAGAAATTCTATGAGGTCAATTATCTTCTGTTTGTTACTACATGCTGCATACATCCTTAATAGCCTATTCCAGTGAATTATCCTTGATAAGCTATGCTACTACATAAGTTGGATCCAGACAAACATTATTTAAGAAAAATCCATTAGACTTTCCATTAAGTTACCAAATATGTATACAAAAATATCATGATTAAGACAAATTAGAAGTTCTCAACAACTTAGACAAATAACACAGGCAAGACACAATGGTGTGGATATGAAGGGTGATATACTTGACAGTATCAAGCTCTTAAATGACAACCCAAACAAAAATGGTTCTGTGAACTGATAAATAGCAGTTGAAAATCAAATAGTGAGAAGCATGAGCACAGTCAGAAACTTTTCTCTACCATACCAGAAGAAAATTTTAATGGGTTAGCACTTGGTTGCATGCTTCTTAGCTAGGTACCGCTCTCGATTTGGATACTTAAAAACTCCTATTCGGCCTCCATTTCCAGTGAAAATCTACCCTTTTTTGCCACAGGCTACTGCAGACAGCTATGTTGCACAAATAAAATTAAATTGGTAGGTTGTTCCAACAGCCCAACACATTCCAAATTTGGATATTAATCTGGATTCATTTAAGACACTTCTTAATATAATCCTCCCACCACCACCCCCAGATCCTTGCACAATGTAAATTATTTAATAACTTATACTGCAATTTTCTTAATAAAAAGCTACAGTTGTAGAAAATAAAGCATCACATTCATGTATCCTCTTTTATATAGCCAATGATACAGCTCATAATTGATCCTATCGTATACCATCATTATCACCACCCATGCCTTATCCCAACTATGTGGGGACAGCAACATGAATATTTTGGTTAAAACCGAAAAACCAAATATAAATTTTTGGTTAATTCGGTTTGGCTATTTCAGTTTTTAAATATTTTGGTTTCGGTTTCGGATTCAGTTTTTAAAAATTAGAAATTCAGTTAACCAGAAAAAGAAAAAAAAAACGAATTAACCGAACTTTGCTATACAACATGTAATATATATTATATAATATATACTATTTAGTATATATTATATTTATATATTCATGCATAATATAATAAATTTAATTACATAATATATATTATAATATATTATATGTTAAAATATATATAATACAGTGTTTTAAAAGTGCAAGGCACATGGCGAGGCACACACCTTTTTGAAGCAAGGCACAAACATACAAAAAAAAATCTAAAAAATAAAAAAAAATGTTAGAAAATTCAAAAAAGCCAAAATTTTCAAAAAAAATTGAAAATTGAAAATACATAAATATAACATGTAAAGCATATTCAAATAAAAATTTAAAAATAAAATCAAACATATAAAACATTTTCAAGCATGTAAAACCCACAATCTCTTTTTTTTTTCTCAATTACACTACTTTAAGTAGCTAATGTGAAATAAAACATATTACATTATTGATTCTACAAGCTGCCTTTGTGCCACACCACTACTTCTAGCCCCTTCAATGTGTAACAAATCATTTCTTCTAACCTGTGCAGTTGGTGGTCTTCTATGTGTGTGCCCAAACCATCTTAGTCTACTCGCTCATTTTATCACCTATTGGAGCACTCCTAGGTTCCTAAGGATAACTTTATTCCTAATCCTATCCTTACTAGTTATTCTACTCATCTGTCTTAGCATTCGCACTTCTGCCACATTCATTTACTGGACATGTTGTTTCTTGACCACCCACCACTCCACTCCATACAACATAGCTTGCCTTACAATTGTTTTATAGAAGTTTCCTTTTAATCCAAGTGGTATTCACCTATCACATAAAAGTCTAGATGCACCCCTCAATCTCTTCCTTGTTATGAATTACTGCACCAAGGTACTGGAAATGGTCAAATTGAGTTATTTCTTAGTATCCAATCCTAAGTGTATCTTGACTTACACTCCAATCATTACTAAATTTACATGTCATATACTCTGTTTTAGTCCTATTTATTTTAAAACCTCTTGTTTCTAAGGCATTTGTACATAAGATTATGTTTGCATTTAATCCTTCATTGTGATCAGTGCACCATGGAACTTCCCCTTGAATATGTTTAGTCAATTCATCTATGAACAGTGCAAATAGATAAGGGCTAAGAGCTGACCTTGGTGAAGACCCATAGTAACTGTAAATTTTGAAGTCTCTACCACCGGTGTTCAAACATTGGTTCTTGCCCCCTCATGCATATCCTTAACGCAAAAATTAATTCTTTTACACTAATTAAAATACATCACTGAATCAACAACTCATTTACACCTTGAATACCTAGAGACTTCAATTCACTCAGCATAACCACATTTACACAAAAAAATACCAGTACTTGTGTTTGTGACATTTCTTGTTCACCATTTCCTTTATAAGTATTCATCAATTGATTATATTAAACTCCAAATGTAAAGAATATTTGCTTTACATTGAAATTTGTCTTGAAGATTAAATATGGGTTCAGATCGTATTACATGAATCCAGTTCCACCATTTTGCTCAATCAAGAGCAATGTTTTCTGTCAACTGAACCGAATTCATAAAACTGGATGATTTGGAAGAGCCACATTAAACCCTGGTATAATTAAAACATTTTGTTTTACTTTAAGAGATTCAGAAATTCAATGCATCAAGTCAATGGCTATTGGCTAATAATGGGTCAATTAATGCATTACTCCTAAGGAGAATACCTAAGAAGAAAAGGCACAAAAGTGCTTGCCAGACCCATCCAGAGTTTGTAACTTTTGGGTATTTTTCACTCGAGACTGTTGTGAACAGAATTTCATCAAAGATTCTGCCTTGACCCACAAAGTGGGGTTGTCTGCATGGGCTTGGATCTGCTACCCACGGGATATCACAGCTGTGTATTGGGAATATCTCCCTTACCATTAATGGGAAAATGTTCTCAATACATGGTGTAGTGTTTTGTGGGTCAGGATGTGGGAACAGTTTGCGGGTAGCAGATCCAGATTGGCAAGAATCCTGTTCCACCATTTCCTTTTAGTTAAAGCCATATATTTATGCTTAAGATTTTTTAATACCCAAAGTTAATAAGAAGTCATAAGATCCCAACTAGTCTACACATTTAATGTGAAAAGAAGAGTATATGTTACCCTTTTTATTGTTTTTGATAAGTAACGAGAGAATTTATGAAATTAAGAACCAATGAAACAGATTATACAATGAAGCTTCCTAGAGGAAAAAACGAGCTACAGCCTCAATAACAGAAAAGAATTAAGTTGAGCCCAAAAGAGATGGTCCCTATGCACCCCTTGCTTAGTTAAGTAATCCACTATGGCACTATACCATTAGCCGCTCTCCTTTCCTAACGAGAAAACTTCTTAAGGGCCCGTAAAATTGTGCATTTCTGTCAGTATTTTAATAATTTTTGTGTCTGTTACTGTAAAAAAAAAAAGTATATATTACCCTCTAACCTCTATCCACCCTGAACTCAGTGTTTTAAAAGCGCAAGGCGCAAAAAAGGCGCAAGGGACAATTTACGCCTCAGTGTTTTAAAACATATTGCATTCTTGATTCTATGAGTCGCCTTTGTACCAGTGAGAACCCCCTATTTTCTAATGTTGTTCATTCATTCATTGCAATAAAATATCTTCTTAAAAGGCAATAAAAGTTATAAAATCATTATGTTTTATGTGAGAAATAAGAGTTTCAAACCTAACAGACTTGTTCGGGCTTGCCTTGAGGGGTCCGGGGGCGGAGCCCCCGGCCCAGCCGTTAGACTCAAAAAAAAAAAGCAAAAAGCACAAAATTTTAAAAAGGCGCACGCCTGGGCTGAGGAGCAAGGCACATCAGGTGCACACCCTGGTACGCCTTTTGAAAGGGGTGTGCGCCTAGGACGTGGGCAAGGCACATACCCCAAAATGCGCCTCTCTTGTTTTCTTGTCTCCTTATCCAGTATGCAAGTATGCAACATTATCCCTTTATCATGTTTTCTTGTCTCCTTATCCAGTATCCAGAACCAAAGTTTCATTTCAAAAGAGAAAATTTATGAAAACCTTATCTTTGTTTTAAGTTTTGGAACCAAGCAGCTCAGAACAACTGCCTATTGAAGTCATGAACTAATTAAAAAATTGTCTGGAATCACCTTTACAAAATATAAATAATAAACAAAAGCAATTTTCTTCAAAAATTTGGTTGCATATTCTAACATTTAAAATTTTATTTAAGCCATTACTGTAATAATGCATGTCATCTCCCATGGTGCATGCAACTGTTACACCCATTACCAAAATAAGTTCATGTATCTCTCATGTATAGAAGAGATGAGTTCAACCATTAAATGGCTCCAAATGCAATACCATCATCATCAAGAAATATGCATATAAAGGGACATTACCCAATGATGGTCGTGGCTCTCTGGGATCTTGGGAAGGGTAGATTGGATATAAACCTATCCTTTGTCTTGTTTTCTGCACAAAGTGGTTATTGGTTGCTCTAAGAATCATACCCAGGCTATCATAAGATTGTCAGCCTGAGATTTTACAACTGCACCAAGCAATGAACCACTTAATTTAGTTCATTCTCTTCAATAGCTATTAGACAGGAATCTATCTTGAGGGGAGTATTCAAGGAACACTATGTATACATTGGTTCATATTGATATATTCAAAGCTGATTTTTAGAATATAAACATTTAAAGGTAGTGCCCCTTAGCACATTAAGCAACTAACTTGGAACTCCAAAAAGACTTATCCTAAAGCATGGAGATGGCTATAAACGCTCTTTCATAATTCCACCACATCAAGGGCAATATCCTCCATGAGATGGTGAGTCCCAAGATCTTTTCTCACTATTTCAACCCATGTCCTTTTTGGCCTTCCCCTAGTTATTCTAGAACCATCAACTTGCATCAAGTCACTACTTGGTGCAATGGGAGATCCTCTCTGAATATGGCCAAAGCATCTTATTATACTTTCTCTCATTTTATCAGACCTATTTGGGCTAGTCCCAAATACTGCCCTTTCTACCATTCATTCATTTCAATGTCTTCAGCTCTGTTGGACCCATCTTATAGATCTGCTGCCTTTTGAATTCACACCAAGCATGATCTATGAAGGCACCTATTATTTTGAGGCAAAATTATCGAGAAGATAAAATGTGATCGTTTAACAGCCACTATAGATTTTTTTATACCTCCACAGAAGAACCAGGCTGATATCTTAACTTGGAAGGGGGCAGTTTGGGAATTGGGACAATCTGGTTTTAACTGGCAAGTCAAATCCAATTAGTCCAATGGCTTGTAGATCCAATTTGCATGCATAAAAATCTGAAAGCATACTCAGTTGTAAGTTCTCAGTCTCAACTTCTTCACATTCATCATTATTCAGAGTAAATGGAATTACAATGGTATCCTCTAGGCACAAACAGTCAAAAGAATTGTTCCTCTTTTTTTCCTTTTCGTTTTTGTTTTACAGAAACTTAGAATTTAATTATCACATAACATGTCGAACAACATATATATGACCAATACATATAGAACATTTAGCAAAATAATTAGAAATAGAATAACGGAATTGTTTTACTGATTAATATGTATCTTTTGTTCCGATCTTCTTTCCATGTATTTATTTATTTCATTACTCATTCTGACCTGCAACAAACTTACAATTTCTCATGGAGCAGAACTAAAGCAAATTATCAGCCTTTAGTCCTTATAGACAAAAAGAAAAAAAGAACATTATTTCAGAGCAAAAAGAAAATGGGAAGGCAAGAAGAGTTGATGAAACATAAGGTAATATGGAAAGAACACAGTAGTTTTCAAGTGGGAACATCAGGAATACCACCAAGGAAATGTGAAAGTGAAACAATGGAAATACATTTTCAATGAAAATGAAATAAAATGGACATTTTCCATGGCAATCATGATTCTATGGTGCAATAAATTAACAAAAAAACTATCAAATGAACAAAAATTAAACTAACAAAGAGTTCTACTAAAAGAAAAATAAGCTAACAAAGAAAATACATTGCCATCTTCTACCGAATAGCACAAAACAGTATTAATTATCCAAAAAAGAAATAAAGAAATGCAAGGTGAGTTTACCAATCAAAAAAGAAAAAAAAAGAAAAAAATAAGCAAGGTGAGTGGCTACAGAAAGAGTGGTTTAGCTATTACCTGCTTGGCTAAAACTTGGCAAAGGCACAGGTTGGGACCAATTAAGCATCATTCCAGGTTGGGGTGCATCTGTATTGATTAGTGATAGATTTGCAGGAAGTGGAACATATTGTTCTTGGCACTTTTTCTTTAATTCTTTCTTGAGGGATAACTTTTCTTGCCTTTGTTCATCTTGCCCGTTTTCTGCTGACAATTCTAGTAAAGATACCATGGAAGTTAGCATACTAAGACATAACTTGAGTTTAGCTTTATATAAATTTACATTGAATAGAGAGATACACAGCAATAAACAAACCTGTGTGTAAGTAATACATATCATCCAAGGCCTCAAGCTGATTGTTACAGCCGCCTATGAACACTGCAATACCCTTTTGTGGATCCAAGCAGTCCCCAGCCACAGAAAATCTCTGAGAGGGTCCCTGGCCTGATGCCATCACCTTAGTCCAAAAACCAGTCTCTGCTCGGAGATTGGGGTGGTAAGAGGAAAAAGGGATCATTAGGAGCACTGGTATACATACATACATACATACAAGTTATTACCCAATGTTGGTGTGTGTGTGTGTGTGTGTATGTGTGTGTGTGTGACATAAAAGTTATTACCCAATGTTGGTCCAAGTAATTTGGGGTCTTGGGAGGGGTGGACTATATCATGACATCTTTTCTATTATTTATATGACAATCTTTGGAATTTTAAGGTTGAGAGAATTTAAAAGGTATTTGAGTAACAATGACAAATAGGCAAAGCTTGGTTTCATGAAATTCAAATCTTCAAAATTTATGGCAAACAAAATAACAATAATGTGCACATCATATTCCCATTAGACCACCAGAATAATACTAGTAAGAGAAAATTTGCATCCACATAAAGCAGACAAGGATTGATGTAGTCATGTAGCAGACCCCATATAACTGGGACAAGGCTTAGAGGTCTGATCAAACAAGTAACAAGAGGTTTGATCAATGTTTGAAAACTAGGTTAACCAGTTGGTGGATAGGTAGCTAAAGTTACCATGGTTTGCCAGTAATTTGACTAGTCCTTTACACAAAACTAAAAGAGAAGATGCGATCTTACATATAGTTCAGTGGTTTAACCAGTCTGGCCAGATTTCAAGTTTCAACCAGTTGGATCAACAAGGTTGTAACAGTCACAATACATGGCCTGGTCTGGGTTCAGATTGATCCACATACAATCTCATTTTTGGCAGGACAATCCAACCACCCGCTCCATCAAGCTTTAGAAACTTCTGCATGGAAGCATCTTCCAAAGATCCCACCTAGCAGATCTCCTGGTACAAAAGTTTGACCAACTAGATGATCCTATACATATGGTCAACGTGGCCTTGCTGGTCCTTCTGGTTGTTAGGATCAACTATTAGGTTCATATTTGGCATAGAAAATATACATATAGAATACCCTTGTATGCACACACTGGATGATTGACAGGTTTTCCACTTTGAACTACTCCAGATGCTATACATGAATCAATTACACAAAACTATGATTATGAATACATACCAACATTAAGCATGTGAAGATCATCATAAAGATTTCGAGCATCAGTAAATCCTCCAAAAACAAACAAGTTTCTTCCGAGAGCAACAGTGGAGTGTCCAGCACGAGGAGGTAATAGCTGGCCTGAAGTAACCAGTTCCCTCCAAACAAGAGTATCTGTTGATGCATACAAATTACAAGCAAGAAAATTTTCAAAATGAACTAATGAACATAATTTTTTTGTTATTGCTATTCATATAAGCAGGGCAGTTTTAAAACCAGGAACCTGTATCAAGGATATGGACATCAGACAAATAATAATCAGATGCATCTTCACCACCAACCACAATTATTTTGTTCATCCAAGACGAACAAGTGTGACTATCGCGTGCAGAAGGTGGAGTTCCAGAAGTAAGAGCACGTCTCCATACAAATGTTTCTGCACATGTTGACAGGAAAAAAGAAAATAAAATAAATCATAACCCGCTGGACTTGCTCAGTTTATCATGCATCTAAATGTAAACACACCCTGATGAATACATATGCATTCAAATGAAATAAATATAATACCATGAGGTGATACTCAAAATGCTAGTACCCTAGTAGTATACTGTATATAAATGACAACCTTAAGGTTGCATTTTTCATTGGGGTAGATTTAGATTTGGTAAAAGAATTTGAATCAATTCCATACTCTGGGTCAATTTTTGCAGTGGATCAAAGTTTGGGTATTGCTGGTTTTAGCCTTCAACTTCCATGTTCTATTGGAATCCATAGTGATATAATTTAAGGCAGGAGTAATAATTTCAGTTCCTGAGATTTAAGGCAGGAGTATAATTTAAACCCAAATGCCCTCCTGCAAAACAATCTGAATGCAGTGAATATATCCACAATGCTTTTTGCAGAGCAAAACAAGGTAAGTGATTGATACACAACAAAAACAGGGCATCGGCAGCATATGGTACATACAGCGTTCATGAAGTTGAATGAACCCACCATTTGTTGAGTTCCCAGTATGACTACAATGAAAGCTCTATATACCTTTTAGGTGGAGCATTTTCCCTGTTTTCAAATGGAAAAAATGGTGTATCGTATTAAAATTAAGCAAAGGTTGTATGCAATGTGATGTGAGATAGTATTAAAGCAATTAAAGCCAGAAGGAAATGAGTCTGAGAGTTGTTTCCGAGCTGCTGATATCAGCTAGACCAGAGGTGTTGGGGGAGGAGTATGTGAATCTAAGAAGAAAGGATCAAGGAATTCAGGCAGGTATTGAGAAAGCTTTAGTCCCGGTGGTGTGCAATCAGGGGAATAATGAGCAAGATCCAGTGGTTCTCAATCTGCAACAGGAGGGGATGTCGGATAATTCTGAGGCAGAGCAGCAAGTTCCCTTAGCAGTGGTGTTCCCAGAGCAAGCTACTGAAGTCACAAGTTTGAATCCTCCAGTCAACTTAAGGTATGTAAGCAAAGATGAAGTTTCTTCATGGGTACTGTCCAAACTGTAAAGCATGGGTGAGTTCTTAGGGGTGTCTATTAAAGGTCTGTAGGAGGAGACAAAAGCCTTGTTGGTGGCAATAGAGAACATATTCTTGGTAGAGAAAGTTGGTCAATGGGATTTTGGTTCCCATTGACCAAGAATCCCATGTTCTTTTTTCAGAGAATCAGATTTATGTGGGGACCAAGATCCCATTGACCAAGGTTATTGGTGGGTAAATAACTTTCCCATATAGGAGGAAAGTTGCCAGCACTTGAATGAGACAAGAATGCCCCTTTTAATAATGGATTTTTATGGCTAAAATGGTCATTGCCTCATTTACCTGGGAAATAAAAGAACATGGGCAATTGCACTTACCCGGGTAAGTGTTTCCCAGGAAAAACTTACCCAGGTAACTGCATTTACCCGGGTAAGTAACTTACCGAAAAGCGAACGGGCCTTAAGAGGGCGGCTGAGTACATATTTGCTTTTTAAGGGGGATGCTCTGGCTTCTTGTGTGGCGGTAATTTTTTTTTGAGGGCTCTTAAAGTTTGTTCATTTGTACAGAAGTTTGTACAGTGAGCAATTATACTTGTATATCTCTTTTTGATTAATACAATTTTACTTTACCTCTTCAAAGAAAATGACAATTCTAACCCTCATTAGACACATGGGCCCACATGGCACTATTAAATAATTTATTTTATTTAAGAAAATACAATAAAATAACTTCTTGTAATAATAATATATTTTATTTAAGAAAATACAACAAATAACCAATAATAATAATAATTAAAGACCACCCATCTGAGCAGCACCAATAATCATGTTCTGACATAATTGGTGTAACCAGGGCAGTCGCCATGAGCATAGTAGCGCTTCTCAGTCTTGTACTCGATGTGAGCAGTGTTAATGGTGATACCTCTAGCTCTCTCTTCCAGAGTAGCGTCAATTTCATTGTATTTTTGGGAGCACTGTTACCAACAGCGGCCAAGACCATGGTTAGGGCAGCAGTGAGAGTGGTCTTGTTGTGGTCAACATGGTCGATTGTTATGACAGTAACGTGAGGCTTCTTCTGTTCAAACTCCCCTCTAGCAGCTCTGACTATCATGGTAGGGAGCAGTGACTCAGCTGCATCTTCTCAAGTGATGTGGTGGTGGTGGTAACGGACCACCAGAAGATGTTGAAGGGGTTAGTGAAGGAGGAGAGGAGAGGAAGAAGGGGATGTCAGGGGGAGATTTGTTGAAGTTGTTAGTGGCCACTGCAGTGACTGTGGCTGTAACTCCCATGTGATTTGAATAAGCACTTATTCAATAAGTGCTTAAAATAAGTTGGCCCAGGGTTGCTTTTTAAAAGCATTTATTTTCCACAGCTGTAGCTCTAACATTTGTTAACAATGAAGATAAGATATTAATAACCATTAGCTAGAACCCATGTCCAGAAATCTTAGAACACCAAATAGGATGACCTCATTATTGCATGTCTAACTATTTGAGTATTATTCCAAATTTACAAGGAACATTTGTTTTGTAAGTGGCAGAACCTGATAGCCACAGTGGATATGACTAAATATCGTAAGTAATGGAATAATGTAAGTAACTATAGATGACGGAACAGACCACTTAATAATCTATAATTTCGATGCTCGAGATGATTAGATGCAGATAGAGAAGCTTACCTGTATCTAGCATGTAAAGATCATTATAGTATACTTCAATTGATTCATTTGATTCATTCCATGATTTCCCACAGCCTCCAAATATGAATAGTCGTTTACCAATAAGGGCTGCACTATGGCCTTCTCGTGCTTCTGGTCCCTCACCAGCAACTCTCGGAGTTATCCATGTATTGGATGCTAAAAACAAGCTTAAACACATAAGAACTTATAATATGAACTAATTCAATAGAAGATAAAACAGAATGGTCCCTAAATGGACTAAACAATAAAACAATCATAAAGGCACATGAATCCAAACATTTTCCTAGAAGCAGGCACTATTTCCTCTATAGATACCTCACGAAAAAGTTAACATAGTTCTTATCTCCATAAAACAATAAAATGAAATGGAAGAACAAAAAATGAAACAGAAATGCATTAGGTGATTAAAAATCAATACACCAGTCTCTGACAATCTATTGATTTAAAAAAAAAAAAAAAAATCCCCAACAATCTGCAAATGCAAATTACATGTTAGATGCTCATAGCAAATAGTTTTATAAATTTAATTTTACATATTTAATTGGAAATCAACACATCCAACAATATAAGATTGGCATTAGATATAATGCTAACAGACTGAAAGCAGAAGAACCAGTGAAACAAAACGGACTTACAAGTATCCAGTATATGCAAATCCTTCAGGGGAACCCTCCCATCAGTACCACCAAACACAAACAGGTTGTTCCCTACAGTCGTACAACTATGACTGTCCCTTGGAGAAGGTGGAATTCCTTTTACCATTGGCTTACTCCACGTCTGCCTAACTGCATACCGAACAAAAAGCCATGAAGAAAGGGGGGAAAAACGAAAAGTGAAGGAAATGAGCCAACTCAGAAGGAACACACAAGATGCCTTTGAAGTAAACATATACGAGAAAGAGAGAGATCACCCTAGAACTGCAAATGTATGAGATGAAAATCCTATAAGATTTCAAAAAAAAAAAAAAGAAAAGAAAAAGAAAAAGAAAGTAGAAATTCAAAACTAACACGCATGAAATAAATCCATAAAAATCATCCTCAAGGATGGGACCGATTATAATGCATTAAAACCAAAGCTCGTGAAGATAAACCCTAAAAGTTTCAGCACTAAGTAATCATATAATACCACTAAAATTTAGAAATACGCCAGATAAGTCCCTAGAGAACTGTTCAGTAAGACGAGATAGAGATTCAAAACGGCGAAAAAACAGAAAACCCAAATGAGCAAAACCTCATAAACTGAAAATACACAACTGCCCAAATCCATAACATCACCATCAGCACTGTACATACTAAGAAATATGAATGTCCAATGTAATCTCAAAACTTAATAATACAGATACAAGCAAGCAAAAGTCGCAGCAACAAAAGTGGGAAAAATCATCAAAATTTAGAAAACTTACCAGTGTCGAAAACATACACGTCATTGGTCTGGCAGTTATCCTTGCCATAGCCACCAAAAACGTAAAGAAACTTCCCTCCTTTAACTGCATTGCATGAATGCCCCCATCTCTTCCCAGGCCCAAAAATCCCACCTTTTCGACCCGGAGATTTCTTCCCGTCCAGAGCTTCTCTCAATCTGTTGCTCAACTCTACCTTTTCCCACCTCATTTTGTCTCACAAGGTTTTCAATTTAAAAAGGAAACGGAACGATCAAAAATAAAACAACAAAACCAATAAAACCCAAATGCCAAAACCGAAGTCTGAGATCGTTCTTTCTCTATCCCCGAGCAAATAAACCAGGTTTCAGGCGTACCAGAGCAGACAAGAACCCGCCATTACAAAAGGAATTCGACTGTAGAGAGAGAGAGATTTGTACTCTTTCTAGTGTTAAAAGCAAGTGAAAACCGAAAAGAAATGCCAGGGTTTGATAATTAAAGACGTTTACTGAAAATGGAAAATGCCTAAAACTCTGACTCTATATATAAAATGGACAAATTCGCCAAATCTATATGTCCACTCCAAATTTATGTCAAGGGATTTTGGTTGCTATTGTTAAAGCTCATGTAATCTAATTTTCAGATTGTTTTGCAGTGGGACCATTACCATGATCTATGGTTCAAACTGGATAAGGTATAATTTGTGGGCCAGATCTGTCGAGTCCTTCGTCAACGACATGACAAGAATTTAGAGTGTGTCTTATGATGAGATGGCTTTGATCATCCCACAGATCCTGTGGCCTTGCCCACAGTAATTCCATACTGTACGTTGTAACGTATCGTGTGTCTCTTGGCTGCGTTTGTTTGCAAATATTTACATTAATATGTGTCAGAAAATGTATTTTTGCTCGAATAATCATTATTTTTTACGTTTCAAACAAAACGCTAATAGGATGTATAAATACCCCGATTCAGCGTTTGTATCAACGGAAAGGAGCCTTGGGTAAAACTAAAAGGAGGAAGGGTGATTGGTCGGGTTTGAACCCTAACCGACTTGTTAACTCCATGTCTCCATCCCAAATTCCCAATCCAAAGTCCAAACCGTTAGTCCGTTACCTTAACCTTATCCTGATTAGAGAAATAACCGGTTCCTGGTGCAAAAAAAAAACCGGTTCCGGTATGGGTGGAGCGGGTTACCCGGTTAACCCGTCCTATTGACATCCATAACCTTCATGTCATCCTTCTCTCTCTCTCTGATTCCCTTCAGGCTTCATGCATTCCCTCTCCTCCGTTGGTCTGGTCTGGTCTGGGTTGATTCGAATTCTTCTTTTGCAGGTGAGGGTCTCCATCATTTGCAACCTTAGCTGGAGGTTAGTGCATTTTATAAAAATTCAACACCATTTTCTACATGTGGGGATGGTGTTTGATTTCATTCTATTTCTACTATTTTACTTCACTTAATGGCTATAATCTGTTTTTCTCGAAAACAGAGTTCCTTTCTTCCCTTTATCTCTCTCAGCCTCTCAGGCAATCTGTATTCTCTCTCCGTTTCAGTACTTGGGTATTCGAATGTTACTGTTATTGTACTTAAATTTGCCGATATGATGATTCTCATAAAATATTGCCAAACATTATTATCATTCCCTGCGTTAGAATGGCTCCAACTGCATGCACTAAACTCATTATCTGGACGAGAATTGGCAAGAATTCATTCCCTTTAGCTCATTCCGAGAATTAATTATTTTCAGAATTTTATCCATTCGCGGAGTAAATGGATGCCCTTCATTCGTTACAGTTACAATGTTACTTCAAAGCCCAAAAATCAATATACAGATCCCAACACAGGCAATCCAGTATCGTTCAAGCCCAGCTTCAAGGCTCCTCTAAATTTGTAGAAGCAGCAGCCATCCACCATAAGTTCGACGAAATTCCCCTGTCAGACACCTTTGCTTGGAACAATCTCATCCAAAACCATCTCACCAGTGGCAATTCCTATCATGTCATGTGGATTTATCAGCAAATGCTACTCCGTACAGTCCGTCCCGATAAGCACACCATTCCTCGCGTTTTAACAGCTTCTCGCCTTTCGGGTAGTCTATCTTACGGGAAACAGGTTCATGGCCAGGCTCTCAAGCTGGGCTTGGGTTCAGATGAGTATGTAATCACAGCTCTAATGACAATGTACGGGCATCTTGATTGTGCTGAAGCTGCAAGGTGGCTATTTAACCAGTCTTCTCGGAGGAACTCGGTTTCTTGGACTTTGTTAGCCGGGTTATACATGAAAGAAGATAAACCCAGTCTGGCTATTGATATATTTAACCAGATGGTGGAGTTGGGTGTTGAGATAGATGAAGTTGCTTTGGCAACTGTTATTGGAGCCTGTGGACGCTTGAAATCGCTACAGGAAGGAAAGAGGATTCATGACATTGCAAGGAAAAGTGAGTTAGAGTTCAAGGTTTTGGTGAGTAATTCACTCTTGAAAATGTATCTTGATTGTGGCAGCATTAAAGATGCTCGGACAGTTTTTTATCAGATGCCCTCCAGAGATGCCATCTCATGGACAGCAATGGTTCGTGGGTATGTGAAAAATGGGGGATTCAATGAGGGTTTGAAACTTTTTAGATTGATGATTTCTGCAGGAATAAAACCTGATGCATTTGCAGTCTCTAGTGTTCTCCCAGCTTGTGCAAGAATATCTGCTCATAAACATGGCAAAGAGATTCATGGATATATAGTTAGAACTGGAATTAATTTGAATTTAGCAGTCCAAAATGCTGTAATGGACATGTATGTCAAATCAGGATGCATGGAATCTGCTTCAAAAATCTTTGCAGGGATGTCTGAGAGGGATACTGTCTCGTGGACAGTGATGATACTGGGTCATAGCTTACATGGACATGGAGAGATTGCAATAGAACTCTTCCATGAAATGGAGAAGTCCACAGACATAGAACCAGATCAGACTGCATATGTTGCTGCTGTTCATGCTTGTAGCACTGCACGCATGGTTGAAGAAGGGAGGTTTTACTTCAATTGCATCAGGTTACCCAAGGTTGAACATTATGCTTTAATGGTTAATCTTCTAGCTCGTGCTGGACTCTTTGATGAGGCAAGGGCCTTTAGTGAGAATTTCCAGATTGAACAGTGTTTGGAGGTCCAGAAAGCACTGCTTGATGGGTGCAGGATCCACCAAAACACCAAACTAGGTAAGCGAATCATTGAGCATCTCTGTGAGTTGGAACCTCTAAATACTGAAAACTATATTCTACTTTCAAACTTGTATGCTGCAAGTGCAAAATGGGATATGGTTGATAGACTGAGAGCAACAATTAGAGACATGGGTTTGAGGCCTCAGAAAGCCTATAGCTGGATAGAGGTTCGAAACAAGGTTCATGTGTTTGGGGTAGGGGATGTCTCCCACCCAAGATCAGAGGGGATTTATTGGGAATTGCAGTGTTTGATGAAGAAAATGGAAGAGGAATATGAATTTGTTCCTGATGCTGATTTCAGCCTCCATGATGTGGATGAGGAGAGAGAGTGCATTCCTATTGGACACAGTGAATTGCTGGCCATTTCTTTTGGCCTGATCAGTACACAGGGAAGGGCAACCATTCGTGTCACCAAGAATCTTCGGGTGTGCCACAACTGCCATTATTCAGCAAAACTCATCTCCAAGATAGTTGAGCGTGAGATTGTATTAAAGGATCCCAATCGTTTCCACCATTTCAAAAATGGGTATTGCTCTTGTGGAGACTTCTGGTGATTTGTTTTGAATCTTTATGTCCCATGTTTCAAGTCTTTGGGCCAAGATCTGGCATTGCAAGCATACCATGGAGGCCATAAAGTTCACTGATTAGAGACAAACATTCGAACAGGAAGGTCATGCAAATCTAACCAAATTTGTTGCAGCACTGAATGCAAGTGCTGGAAAGAGGCAGGTATCTCGACCAGGATATGATATTGAGATGCATTCAGATCTACCAGTTGAAGAAATGGAGTCAATGAAATAGTTCAGTGATGTTCCAAAGAAATGTTGGTCATTTTGGACTCTTGGTCTGTGATGAAATTTTTCAAGATTTCAATATTTTAGATGATCCTTTGTTGAAACTCGATTATTTTATTAATATTTTTAGTATTTTATAACATATTTATATTTATATAAATGAGCTTATATTATTTAATAAATTTTCGGAAATTTTAGCCAAAATAAAGGGAAAAGTACTCTGCAGCTCACTGCAGAATTCTGAATTACAGCCCCCCAGAGTCTACTAGTAGCCCCCCCCCCTATAAACCGCAATCCACGGTCAGGATTCATCCCCCTTGTATGGTGGGGCTAAAGAGTTCTGAGCTGGGCTGATCAGTCATTCTCCCCCAAAATAAATCTGCTTGATGTATTTCATATATCATGTCATGTAAAGCCTTGACCAAAAGCAAAATTTCATGGAAGTTCATAAAATTTCACTAGCAATTAAAATTATTTTAGTTCTAGTGATTATAGACAGCATGTTTTCCGATGGACCCAAACTGATTGGGTTGGTTTTGGTTCTAGGAACCAAAAATGATGGATCAATTTCAATTGCTAATATTTGTCCCGGTTCTTATCGGTTCAAAACCAGTTCCACCTTATATATGTATGTGTGTGTGTATATATATATACTAGTAATTAATCACATGCGTTGCACGTGATAAATTTTTCTTCATACTAATTACTTGAATTTTAGATATATCATAGTTAAAATAAAAATTAAAAAAAATAACAATATGATTAAAAATAAACTTACATATTTATTATTGAATTATGACATCATGTGTTTTTTTGAAAAGTTGGATCGTTGACTCACTATCTAGATAAGAAATAGCATTGCTTTTGGATTAGTTTTAAATTAGGGAAATTATAGTCAAAGTCGGTTGTACATTTAAAATTTGGTTCCAAGTTGGTCCATAAACCAACAAAACTCTAACAAACGGCTCTACATTTCAAGTTATAAAAACCATCGCCATGTCATCGGAGGGTTATGCGACTATTGCCAACATGGGACTCTTAATCCATATTGGACACAATAAAAGGCTTATACTAAAATTGCCCTCTAATCTTGGGTGATTGGAAAAAAAATAAAAAAAAGGTTTTGGTTTCTCTTTCTCTCAATCTCCCTCACACTCTTTCACTCACAGTCATCTTTATCTGCTCAACGACTATGTGATTTGAAAATAAATAAAAATAGTTTTGGGTTTATGTATTTATGTTCTCTATATCAATTTCTCTCATTCTCTCTCTATCTATCGTTCTCCCTCAATCTCTCTCATTCTCTTTCTTGGCCGATTTCTCCTTCTCCCTTAATTTCTATCGTTCTCCCTCAGTTTCTCTCCCTCTCCCTCTCTCATTTTTTTTTATTTTTTTATTTTCTTACACACTTATATGGTATTAATCAGATCGTATAAAAGAACGTAAGACCAACTTGGTATGTTTCAAAAATTATTACACCAAATTGATAAAATTCACAAGAAACTCTTGGCTATGAAATTTACACCAATTAGAGAACGATAGAGATTGAGGGAGAAGGAGATTTTGACCGAAAGGGAGAGTGAGGGGGGAGAATGAGAAAGATTGAGGGAGAACAATAGAGAGAGAGAGAGAGGAAGCAGGAGAGAAATTGAAACATATTTTCGATATAGGTTTTCTGCTATGTTCAACAAGGAATAAGAGTCCCATGTTGGCAACAACCACGTAAGCCTTTTATGACATGGTGGGGGTTTTTATAATTTCAAAATGTAGAGCTAGTTTTCAGAGTTTAGTTGGTTTTTGGACCAACCTCCAACCTAATTTTAAATGTACAATCGACTTTGACTATAATTTTCCCTTTAAATTATATATTTCATTTACATTATATAAAATATTTTTTACTTATCACACTTAATTGTTGTTTGTCTATGATATCATTTCACCCAAACCACTAACCCACCATCTAAAAATAAAAAATTGTTTGATTTATAGGTTGACATTAAATTTTGCATTACATTTCCATCATTGATAAAATTATTTCTAACGTATAAAACTTATTTTTGTTTAATTTAATGAATGTACAATATTAGAGATGTACCCAATATTGTAAATTTTATAAATATATACCATTAGATATGTGTCCAAAATTTTCTCTTATCTTTTTTTTTATTTTTGTGATTCTTTGTAGTTTCTATTATTAAAAATTTTATTATTTGACTCTGACATCATTTAATTTCTAGGTAGATTTTGAAATTGGCTTTCCATTTTCATCATTAATAAAAACACTTCTTACATTTCATAATTATTTATTTATTTTTATTATTTAATTATGACATTATTTATTAATCCATTTGACCCCAAATGGTCAAATTGCTTGCCCACCACCAGGAGGGAAGAAAATGGTTTTATTTTCAAATTACTTTTCAAAATATTTATTTTTATACTATTAAAATTAATATTATGGATTTAATTACAAGAATGTAATGATGAGAAAAATATATTTTAAATATAGGATTTAATAAGAGAGAATAGGAAAATATTTTTATTTTCAATTGGTTTTAAATTTTACATTCCATTTTCATCACTAATAAAAACATTTCTTATTTAACATTGTTATTATTGTTTAATA